CGGTACCTGAGAAACCTCACCTACCTGGACATATCCAGCAACAAACTAACCACCTTGCCATCAGATTTGATGGACATTTGGCCCCCCTTCTCGGAAGCTGTTCTATCCAAGACCACAGACATTCTGGTGACCGAGAGGGTAATTTTGGGTACGTTGAACAGCCTATGTCATTCCTTTAAAGAATGTACCTACATGTTAAGTTGCAAGTGAGAGCAGGTAGGGGACCAACCTGGGATTCAGGAGAGTGAGTTTTATCTGGGTCAGTCTCCTGGTTTGCTCTGTGATGATTTATTTTTTCGTTTTATGTTGGTGACAGAAAACGATAAAATGAAGATAGTGATGTCCATGTATCTTGTTATCTCAAGGTTATGAAACTGAAGTAAAAACTATGAGATTCCAGTCTACAGGAAGACAGGCCATATGATGTATTATTCAGTTATACATATAAATTCAGGGATTCCAAATACTGTTTCTGATTACGTTTTCCTCATCGCTGTATGTGGCTGCAGCTGTAAGCTTGTCCATTTGCAACTGTATTTTACAGTGGCTTACAAGCCAAACAAATAGCTAGAGTTAATGCTCATATGAGGCCTGATAAACAGTGCTGCAGAGAGTGTCAGTAGCTTGAAGGAGGGCAACTCTATTTTCCCCCTGACTCCTGTTGATCTTGCATTGGTCTAAGGCTGACTGATTATCCTGAAGTTTCTCCCAATTTACATGCTAAATATGAGACAATATGAATCTAAGCCCCATGATTTCGCAGTACTTTTAATTGTATTTAAGCTAAGTATTTAAGAATAGTTTGGTCAGATTATATTTTTTCTCATAATTTTGTTCCATTTCTCTAGTATACCATCGCATCTCTTCTGTTTGGGAGTCTGTGCTTCATTTTATACTTTCTCTCCACCTCCTAGTCTTGCAGCTAACTGCTTTCTCTTCTGAGATCTCAGAACATGGCTGGAACAGCTCTATCAATTGTCTAATCCTTCCGATGACCTCATGTGGGAGTCCCAGAAGTGATTTGGTTTTGTTGTCTAACAAGGCCCTCACCTCTTAAAAAACAAAACCAACAAAAAAAGCAAATCCAAAATCAAACCTCAAAAACCAAACACTGAAAAAGCCCATTCCCACACCCCCTCTTCTCACCTCCCATTCCCTCTGGCAACCATCTGCAGGCTTTGTTAGGGCAGGTGTTTTGCCAGCCTCCTCTAGTCCTGGCAAACCCTTTGGTGGCAGTGTTGAGTTCTCTAGAGAATTGGGATGTGACCTTTGGATCATTTTCATTTGTCAAATACAACTGGGCCTGAACACAGGCCTCCAGAGGAGAACACACACTGGGCTCAAACAGCACCTTGCTTCTCTTTTTTGGATGTTATGTGCTGAGGGAGGCTCTGTGCACTCATTACAGATTTGGAACTGAGAATGCAAAATGTCAGGCAGTGTTTTCATTTTGTTATGTTGACTAAATATATCTCTGGTAAGATGTGAATAATTCGCTGAATTTTCTTTCATTGGCATCATGGCCTGATGAGTATATCCCAACGCAGACAGACAGTGCTTGCTGTGTAAGAAACTCTATAGTGAATAAGAAAACATCCCCTTCCTCTGTAGATTAGAAAGCGCAGTGCTCTTTGTGTCATGGGATATTTTGGCAAGTTTACTTAGTCTCCACTAAGTGTTAATTTTATTATCTGTATTACTGGAGTTTGCACAGCTGTAGTTACACCGCTCACACTTGCTGCCAGAGGCTTGTCCTTAGGTTGCTGTTGATGGGCTGTTACAAAGCAGTTATTTTTCAGGAATGAATGGTTAATAGAAACTATTGGGCTAGAAAGAAGACCTAGCAGTTGAGATGTCTCTATAATGCTCCAACCATAGGAGATGTCAGCTTGGAATGACAGGAGCAAGACGTGCTCTGTGCCATTGCCTCTTCTCTGACACCTGTTCTGTCTCTGCCTGCATTGCTAGAGCCTGAAGAAGGAGAAGGGTATCCCATAGATACTCTCCTCCTCCTCTGACCTGGAGATAAGGATCATAGGGGTATGTGATCAGGAATTATTTTGAAAAGGCCTCTAGCCTGCTAGGATATGGATCCAGATGAACTGAACCATTCTGGTTAAGTCAGTGCTGTTCTTAAAGCCTGCAGACAGACCATTCCAGGGCCTTCTCTGGTAACATCTTCCAGTGCTTATCTGTCAGGATAGTGAGAAAGTTACTCTTAATATCTAACCTCAATCTCCTTTACTGAAAACTAAGCTGATTACCTTGTGTCCTACATGAGATGGTCATACAGAAAAACTAGTTATCATCTCTCACAGTAACCTTTCCCAAGTTTTCCTTCCCTGTTTGCTGCCTTTAACGAATCACACAGTTTCTTTCACCAGTTTCTTATAGACTGTAGGGTGTTCTTTTTAATTTTCTACCATAGTTACTGGTTCCCTTTGGACTCCTTTAGGTTTTAAAAAAAGGTATCTCTTAAAATGTGATGCCCACAATTGCACACTTTGATGTTCAAGGGTGTCCTATGTACTTCACCTGTATGTATTTTTTAACAACAGAAGGCAATTTTGTCTTCAGTGTCTTGACTGAGCATCAGGAAGGTTACATGTAAGAGAAAGTTCAGGTTCCCCATGTTTACTTCAAGGACTCTTGGAGGAGCCATGGACTACTTTTGCTGAGGGACTGGCAGGTTGGCATCACATTCCAGTTCATAATCTCTGTGCTTAAGGTTTTGGATTTTTTTATTACCTGCTGCTGTATGATGTTCCTCTCTGTGGACACTGCTAAATAAAAGAGGGTCAGAGAATGATTCCTGGCCCTGTGATCAAGTGCTCACTCTGGCTGTCTCCACACAGTTTAGGGTCTGCTCTGTTTAAAGCTGAGTGTTTGTTCTACACTTTGTAAGATGTAGCCCTGGATTTCTGTGGGCTCTATGGGATGCTGCAATGAATCTAAAATGTAACTTTGTGGGTGTAGATGCTTTTTCTTCAGTTCAAACTGCCTGAAGTAATGTAAGAATTGCATGGCAACCCACAGAATTGTGCTTTTGTAATATAAAAGGCAAGTGTTGTATGCCTGAGGGGCTGATAGGTACACAGGAGAGTTTGCAGGTGCAAAGCCTGCTGCACTTGTGTCAGGGGCAAGAACAGGATGGAGAGAGCTGTCCTTGGTGTGGCCTTCATAAGCCTTTCAGGGAGCAATCCCTGGAGTGGGAACTGTCCCCAGAGCCACATCTGACTTTGTCTTCAAGAGTGCCCTTTGGAACAGTTCAAAACAAAGCTGTGGAGTGAGCTGGCGAGTGAGCTGGCAATTAAGCAGTGGACATGATTGAGAAACCAGTGTGTGAGTTCTTTTGGCCCTGTGTTGGTTACCTCTGGAGCTCTGGCCTAATGCTTCGATCCAAATCACAGCCAAGTGTCAGCATTGGCTGCTGTACAGAGATTGAAATTTCTGGCATGAATTATGGCAGCAGCATTTTCCATATGGAAAATGGCAGCTAGTGAGTCCCTGAGAGGAGCAGAGGAATCCAGGATTTAATAGAGTGGCAGGTAGATGAGATCTTGCCTCTGTTGTATGTAGAGATGCCAAAAATTTGAAATGCTGCAGGTCTGTCAGGCTCCCAGCTGTTATACTGTGCCATTGGGTAGATGCTGCTTTTCCTGAAATTACTCCTAGCAATTACTGTCTCTGGTAATCACTGGGACACAATCCAGAAAGTGGGCTTTACTGTTTAGAACCATGGATCAAAAATTTTGTAGCTTCATTGGGAAGAGAGCCTTGGGTAGGTTTGCTCAAGCTGTGGTGAATATTTCTATCAGCCCTGAACTTGAATATTTCACAAGCTGGTGTTTTACAGACACTAAAATGAAGTTTACATAAGGTATGGTCCTAGACTGGTTGATGATTTACTAAGGAAGTTTTGCTTGTAGCTATTTCAAATGCTAAAGTCCATATTGACACCGCACAGGGAAACCCTGCTTATGGAAAAGACTGCAAAAATGGGCATGCCTAATTTAAAAGATGAGCAGAAATAATTAAATACATGTGCATGATTGGGCAAAAGTTTCTTGAGTGCAAGAAGATGATGTGCCTGGACATATGTGAAACATTTGGATGGTACCTCTTGTGAATATATGTGTGAACTTCACAGGAAAAAAAAAAAAATTATTATTGAGATTACTCTTTTAATATGTAGGGTTTATTTATTTATTTATTTAAGAAAAGCAGTTGCTGATACAGTTCCCTTGATTTCTCCTTTTGTGTTCCAGCTGGCAATAAGTAGTGAAGAGATGTAAAATATTTTATGTCTGGCAGGGGTGAAATTGGATTGTGATGTCAAAGCCATGGAATCTCTTCAGGTCAAGTCTTGTTTTAAAGAGTGGGGATTAGTTAGGGTTTACCACAGTTTGAACCAATCGCTGCTGTTCTGCTTGAAATAACCTAATCTAGGTCAGGTGATAAAAGGTGGCAGTAGTAAATTATTCTTGTATTCTTTCACGTAGAGGTTTCTTCCAGAACAAAAACCAGAATTTTTCCATTAGCTGTTTTGGTAACTCCTAAAAATACATACTGAACACTATTATCAGGTGTTTAGTTTTGGTGTTTGTTTGTTTGTGGTTGTTTGTTTGTTTGTTTGTTTAGTTTTGGTTTAATTATGACTTATCTGTTGCACCAATCAGTAGATTCAATAGCATGGCGTTCTTGCATAGCATCCCTCATTTCAGACTGTGTGTTCTGTTTATTGTTAAGACTAAAAAAAATAAAATGAAAAAGGTATGCCCAAAAGTCTAAGTCAAATGAGAAAATACTTGAACTTGTGAGTGAGCTGTGTGGTGTTTTACCTGGTGAAGCTGCTGTTGCTCTGTGAAGGTCAACACAGTAGAGTAATCAATTCCAGCTGAAGATTTAGACTTCTATTTCTCACAAGTATCTACTCTCTTTCATCATAATAACATCACCTAGAAGGAGAAGCCTCTCATTCAAAAATTTTGGAATCAAGAAGCAAATGTTACAGACTCTTAACAGGAGAGGAGAGATATCATTCTGTGTGCCATCATAAAAATATTATAGTCATCAGCCTTTTTCAGGGTCCTTCTCATGTTCTACTCTTCTGGTATTCCTTTTGGATGTTTTTCAGAGGTTGTCCTAAAGTTGAAGCCATATTTCTAAGAATATTGATATATTTCAGAACCAGGTAAGAATTACATTGGCCTAAAGCTTTGTCTTCTTAGCCTTTATCCTTTTTTCAAGGAGTACAGATGTTGATGTAAGCTCTAAACCCATAAATCATCATGTTCTCTGCAAGCATTGAAAAAAGGGTCTGAGAAGATCAAACTGTAAGAGCCTAAAGAAGGACTAAGAGCAGAGGAGGGTGCAGAGTGCAATAGTCCTAAGAAGCTGTCTTTCCAGAAGGGTACAGGCAGGTGAAAATGCATCAATAGTCTTAAGACATCTTTTGAAAGTGTTTTTTGCTGGATAAATAGCTAAGTTAAGCAAAGGTAGTGCAAATATATTACTCTGGTCTTGTAAACTTCTGTGAATAAAAGTTTAGCTTAATAAATAATTACAATATCTGTATATTGCCTGACCATTATTTCCCGTTTAGCTTAATAAATAATTACAATATCTGTAATAATATCTGTCTGCCTGACCATTATTTCCTCCCCTTTCCTACTTCAGGTTTGCAGGACAACCCATGGTTTTGCGACTGTCGCATTTCAAAGCTAATTGAGTTTTCCAAAATTGTGGACAACTCAGTTGTACTTCTGGATCCATTGGTTTTGTGTAGTGGACCTGAAAGCCTGGCAGGAATCTTGTTCCAGAGAGCTGAGTTAGAGCAATGTCTTAAACCATCTGTGATGACATCAGCAACAAAAATCACTTCCCCGCTTGGAAGCAACGTTCTGCTACGCTGTGATGCGACTGGGTACCCGACACCACAACTTACTTGGACTAGGTCAGACAATATACCAGTGAACTATACAGGTATAACTGCTCTTTTATAGGAAATGGGAGAGCCTGTTGTGTTGCTTGTGCTTTCAGATAGTTATAATGAGTAACAATGGGCCAGGTATTGCACCAAGCTGGCAATTGTATCCATGCAACATGAAATTTTTTGTCTAAGTCTTGGTCTGAACAGGTCCAACAGTCTGTTCTGCTTCTGGATCTGGTCTGTAATAAGAACAATGTGTGTGAAGGGGGGAAATGGATGAGGCAAGGGAAGGATAAAAGAAAAAGGATGTTAGAATAGTTGGGCCCTAACTCAGAAGCTGGAAAGCAAGAAGTAGAGTTTTTCACTGGTATCTCAATTATGGTTGAAAATGTTAATGATAAAAAACCTAGTGAGGCCATAACTGAGTCACTTAAAACTCAGTCTGAAACCCATAAAATTTTCCAAAATAATGTTTTCTGTTATTTGCAAACTTTAATAGTATATTTGCAACACTCAAATACTAAAGGGATTTTGTCTGATGTCATTCTAGCTGCTGTGATAGATATTTATGCAGTAACTTAAATATAAAAAGTGTTTCCTGCTAATGCCAAGTAGTTAGCAGTTTCCTTAAACTGTAAGTCTGAAGAATCTGAAGAAGTATGGATAATATCGTATCATATATAATATCAAGGAGCTCCATAGGTTATGTGGGGAGTTTGGTTTGTTGGTTTGGTTTGTTAGGGGTTTCTTGATTTTGGTTTTGTTTGTTTGTGGGTTGGTTTTTTTGTTTGTTTTGGGGTTTTTGTGTTGTTTTTTTTTTGTGGGTTTTTTTTTTTTATGCACGTGAATGCTTCTGGCAGAAATAACTTAAGGGAAGAAGTTTTTCTCTCTAGCTCCCTTTCATAATGTTCTACTCTTTGTGTTTTCCTGTAGTAATTCAAGAAACACCTGGAGAGGGTGTCAGATGGTCCATAATAAGTTTGACAGGGATTTCATACAAGGATGCAGGAGAATACAGATGTAAAGCCAAGAATTTGGCAGGAATGTCAGAAGCTGCTGTTACTGTCACAGTGGTTGGTGTAGTTACTACAACTGTGTCACCACAGAAGTATGGAAGGAAGCAAGAGGCAGAGAAACAGAATACCACTCAGGAGGAACCCAAGCAGGAACCTGAGAGGACAACTACACCTCTTCCCACAACTCCAAACACCACAACACTGGTTAGCACTGAAAGGCCAACGAGCACCAGGTTCACTGACAAGAAGCAATCCAGACCTGTGTTTGATGGAAGGAAGAATTCAAAGGCAGTAACAAATGGAAACAAAAAGCAGACTGGGGAGATAAACAAGGAAGGTGAGGAGACAAAGCAAGCTGGGGAGATAAGCAAGAAAATTGGGGAGACTTCATTAAATACAACAGATGGTGCTGAGCAAGATGTTACTGTAAAGGACCTGAGAGTGATCAGTGAAACTGATGAAAGAGTGACCTTAACTTGGAAAACTGTCAATGCCACAAGCAACTCTGCAGTGACTGTGTTATACTCAAAGTATGGTGAGAAAGATATGTTGCCTCTGAGCACTGATTCTAGCAAAAACAGAGTCACAATTGATGGTTTGCATCCTAGTACTCAGTATATGGCATGCGTGTCACCTAAAGGAGTGCCACCTACAAAAGAGCAGTGCATTATTTTCTCCACTGATAGTCTAAATGATGAAAGCAGCTCTCAGTTTTCTACTCTGATATTGGCCAGCAGTGCAGCATGTGCGGTTTTTTTACCTTTGATAATTTTCTTAATCTACAAAGTTTTAAAACTTCATTTGAAACCAAGAACTGCAAAGGAAGCTGAACTTGCAAGAGAGACCTATGTGAAATTTGAAACACTCTCTCTGAAGCCTCGACCGATGAATGCAGGAGAGCAGCTTTGGGCACGAAGGTACACAGATGAGTCAGAGAGACTCCTCCTTTGTTCAAGGTCAAGCATGGATTCTCAAATGACCTTCAAAAGCGAGGGCTCTAGGTCTGAGTATCTGTGTTGAATATGGGTGAAGGTGGAGGAAATGCAATAGGTAAAATTAATAAAAAATGATGTTACTGCCTCTGGAAGCAGGTTGATACTAGATGGTCAGAAAATATTATCTGATGTAATGCAGTACTCTGAATGGGTAAAGTGGTGGGTTGGAGGGAGAACAGGACAAAATTGTTGCCTGTTTATTTTCTTTTTCTTATGTTTGTGACTTTGGATGTGAAGGAATGATGTTCTTCAAAAGATAAATACAGCATGAAATGGTTGCCTGGTTAAATATCTTCTGGTTTTTGTTTTGATTAAAATATCATTCTGTTTTCTCTTGTTTTACTGCATGATGTGCTTGTTGCATGTCTCAAACAGTAATCACAGCCTTCATAAAAAACTACGTACATAAAAAATAGGAAAACTCTTTAAACTACTACTAAGGTCAAAACTTTATTTGAAAATACAAGTTTTCTTCTGACATTTGAGATGTCATACAGCTCTGTTTGTACAATTTCTTGGACTGGAAGTGATCTCGGGTCAATCAAGACTGAAACCAGGTAGCCTCAGGTTATGGACTGTTGAGACGTATAACATGCATCATACTGTCATTTTGTAAATGCTCAGGCAAAGGAGCTTCTTCAGTATTCTGAAGCTCAGGTAAGATCATTAAGAGTAACTGTGAGGGATGAGAGGTGCTAGATGTAAATAATGTTAATTTACAACAAATGATCTTATTGTAAAATCTCAGCCTTAGGATTGACTTGGATGCATGTGTCTCTATACCTCAATTTCAGGAATCACTGTATGGAGAATTTTCTGGTACTTTGTAATACAACACACACTCTTGTATGCCTATGTATTGCATAGGTATTGCACAATGTCATGTACTACACTGTAGCAGCTGAATACATTTTGAAACACAGAGGATGTCATGTTTGATGTGTAATGAAGTTCAATGAGCATAGTGAAAGTGAGTTGTGAGCCTGCTTCCCAATGTATAAAAACCCCAGATGTTCTCGTTGATGGTAATGATGAATGCCAATTTGCCTATTAATGATAATAATGAATTGTCTACTCTGAGGCTACTTATTTATTGTCTGAAGTAAATAACACAGATTTTATTGTTTTAGGTTCAGATATTATGGTTAGGAATTTGTATAAAGTGAGAACCACAATTTTTACTAAAAATTACAACTGCATTGTATTCTTGGACCTTTCTATGCTTAGAAGAACTATTTGTTTTGCTAGGAAATTGGCAGTCTTCTCTTTCCAGATGGAGAAGTGTTACTCAAAGCTACAAACCAAAGCTTACTTGAAAAGTGTCTTTTCTTCATGTCACTAGTGTAGGATTGCACTTGTCTGCTAGAATGCTAGAGAGTTCATCTTGTAAGGCACAGCTTGGCAAGAGGAAAACTCTTTGCTGTGATTTTATGTTGGAGATCTTTTGACAGAGAAACAGCATGGTGAAAAATCTCCATAGCATCTGCGTGATGGTGTTCAGTGGTGAGGAATAACAGAACGAATATTTGAGCCCTTGGGAGCTGTAGCAAGGAAACAGGTGAGAAGTCAAAAGTGCAAAATGAGTGTACCTGCATATGCTTTTAGAATTAACCTTGGTGTTTTTTCTGTTACTAGTATGTGTGCTTAAAAGTGATCTTTCTTCTTTTTCCTTGGGTAATTTTGATTGCAGTGAAAATGTTTTTAGTTTCCTGAATGGAATATTTTTACCTTGGCAGGTTTTTTTGAAATTTGGGATCTTTTAGGGGACAGCAGATTTTATTTTTTTTCTGACAAGCAGTTTACCATAAACTAAATTTTTAACAGAACCTGAAGGGTTACAGTATTTGCCTTCTATTTTCCATATAGATAGTATATATAGCCAGTAGTTGTTGCTGAAGATGTTTCTAGTTAAAAATGCTATGTTTGTAATTAATGAGAGCAATTATTTTAACATTTAATTTTTAATTTCTGGAGAATATTTGATTTCATGCTTCAAAGCTTTGCAAGAAATGTGAATCTAATTCTGGATTTCAAATGTGCTATCACCTGACTAGTAGATGATAAACACTGAGGTGGTGCAAAGCTCATTTGAGAGAGCTCTCTTGCAAATGAGAAGCCTTTTGGTTTGACTAATCCTTGTGGAATTAGTGTGTCCTAAAGTTAGAAATTAATCTCTATGATCATGTGTGCTATCAGAATATCAAAGATGGAATGTATTATAAAGGGCATGTTCTTTTGAGAAAACATGAGATACATTATTTTTTCCACAGTTCTTGAGACAACAGAGTCATATAACCCAGACATGCTTCTGTACCTCATGTCAAAACAGCAAATTTGCTGGGGAATTTCAATAGAAATTTGAGGCAAAGGTCAAATCACAAAATAAAGACATTTGCCCAGCATTGCCCAGGTTTAGTCTAATTGAAGAGCTTAGGAAATAGTTCTGGTGACAGATGAAATTTTCCTATTATGAATTGTTAATATTAGTGATAGAATCATTATGAGAGAGATTTTGTCACCTGTAATCAGTTTGTGTAATGTCTTCTGAAATGCAATACTGAATCAATCATGGCAATGAACAGTGATGTCTATAATCTGTTTGCCTGGTAGAAGAATTTGGAAAGGATTTAACCAGTGTTTATGCATTGCCTTTCATATATTTTGCACTTTGTTAGCTCAGTTAATCCTGCAGTTCATCAAGAAGGTGTTAGACTTCTTTTTATTCATTAGCTACAATGGGTGTGTCAAAATTGGATGGTTAATGAAATAGCTGAGGAATGTGAGCTGAATTCTAAATAGACCTCATTTTTACTTAAAGCTTCAGTGGGCCTCAACACTTGTCATAGATAACCACAATACTGACTTCAATGTGCACTTACTAAGCCCAAACTTCAGGCATCCATGCGTCTATTTTAGTCCTTGTTGCTCAGAATGGGCTTTGTATTCCTTGGACTATCAGATTCTCGTACTTTTCCCAGGCGGGGAATTAAGAAAAAAACCCTCTTGTGTGTACCATGAAAATGTCTGTAATAGCAAATACATTCAGACTTGGGCTATACTGAAGAGACTAAACAAAGGACATTTAAACTAATTACCTTTTCAAAGAAGTAATTAAATAGAAGTTGTTTTGATGTGAAAATAAAATATAGTTTTTATACATGACTATGTGTTTGCCTGACCGTTTAATTCTTGTTATACCTTTAGACAAATGTGATGAGTGTAGCTATGGGGAGAAGAAATGAGAGAAAACACAAAAAGAAGGTTGAGCTGCTGTGTACATGGCAAGGGAGTGTGCAGACAGGTAGCTATAGCAGGATGGAAGAAGGTACTGCTAGTTTATTGCAAAGGCAGGGGCTCTCTACATGCCCAGTTTCCACAGGGTGAGGGCAGCTATAAAATTAGAGAGTACAACAAAGGCACTAGGGGTATTTGAAGAAAGTACTTGAAGTTGGTCTTAAATCTTACCTGTGTCCCAATTAAAGTTGTAAGAACTTTTTGAGGAACACTGCCTGTACACTGAAAAGAGGGGAGCAAGTAGTTTATGCAAGAAAGAGGGGTATGCATCACTAGCAATTCTGGCTAGGGTGTGAATCGTGGATGTGATATACCACAAAAATCCATAATAATCTGTGATTTTCTTTTTAAAAAAAGCCAGTTTGTTAGATTTCTGGCTGGAAGGTAGGCCAAATTGAATTTCCCATATGAGCACAGATGAGATTTCAGAGTGAACCTTTAAAAAATTATTTTAACTGCATGTAAACGAGAATCACGCTGACTTGGATGCCTTCTCTCGGACTGGCCTTGTTCTAGGTGTTACAGTCAGCCTTTACAGTTTACCTTTGGTAAAGAAAAGGAAATCAAACCTGATACCCGTAAGTACGGTTTTTTTGCAAGAACCTGATTTAACTAATGATGCTGAAGTCTAATGCCATGGGCTGATCGGATTGACTTCTAGTCATGTGTCTTGAATTTTATGCTGCTAACATTTGGCCAAATGTTTGAGCCTCCAAAAATAACTTGTACCAATTATATTTTTTTGTTTCATAGCTCAGTCTCTTGTGTTTAAGGTCACGTGGAAGTTAAATCACAGAGGGAGATAGAGAAAAATATTAAGAGCATGGTAAGCAGCCAGGTATAGGACATGGCCAATTAAATTCAGAATAATATTACTTTCTATTTTAATGTTACTTATCTCTTTTCTTTGTCTTGTAAATTTTATCCTTGACTTTGGACAGAGCCTTATATTAGACTAAACCTGCAGTGTACTTCTCGCTTCAGATTACCCATGAATGACATTATCTATAGGTATTTTTCCAGAAGACACTGTCAGGTCTTGAGCCACCTGTTCTGGTTTCTCACTAACTGGTTTAAAAAAGAAAAATACCTGATATTTCTTGTTCTCTGGCATAGATGTCTCATGGTGGAGTGATTTCTTTCCT